ATTAATACGACTTCGTTTTCATTGACAGTTCATCAAAAAAAGTAAAAATTCACAATGGTATGGTATGAAATAAAGTTAAGATAACAAAGTAAAGAAGAAAAGTGAATAATACCCAACATTCTCCCCCACTAAGAACGAATGTTCTTAAACCTGGTAGTCTTGGTTGTCATGCACATCAGGTTGTTCTTGGTCTGGATTTGTAGGTTCCATTATTGGCAGCAAACACACTTTTGTAATAGGACGCTTCAGGAGTTTACCATTGCATAAAAGAGTAACCACTCTTACTAAACTATCTGTTCCGGTATGGACTTGAAGTATTCGCGCTAATGGCCAATATCCTGGAGCACTTCGTTCATGCTGTAGCAAAACAACGTCACCAACTATCAGATTTCGATGAGTTTGAGACCATTTTGAGCGAGACTGGAGGGTATGAATATATTCACCACTCCATCGTTGCCAGAAATGTTGTTTAAGACGTTCAACTAACTTCCAGCGACTCAGAGCGTCAACCTTGTGAGATAAGAGACTCTTCAGAAACGCATGTTGTTGGTTCGCCGACAAGAAAGTGTGCAGGAGTTAATGTTTGGTTTTCGTCAGGGTGGCTTGGTAAAGGGCACAATGGTCGCGAATTTAGACAGCTTTCAATTTGAGCTAGCAGTGTGATAAGCTCCTCAAAGGTAAGAATGCGGTCTCGCATTATTCGCCGGAGATGATGCTTAGCCGATTTCACACCGGCTTCCCACAAACCTCCAAAGTGGGGTGAAGCGGGAGGAATAAAGTGCCAAATAGTTCCTTCATTGGCTAGCCCCGCTGCCAAATATTCAGGCAACTCTAATTTTTGACGTTCGAAGCAAAGTTTAAGTTCTTTGTCAGCGCCAATGAACGTAGTTCCACAGTCAGAATACAGGTCAGTGCAGCGTCCTCTTCTAGAAATAAATCTCCGATAAGCCGCAATAAAAGCCTCGGTTGTTAGACTGGATACTGCTTCCAGATGAATAGCTTTCGTGCACATGCAGACAAAAAGACAAATATAAGCTTTAACAGCAGAAGATTTTCGTAGTGCAGAATGCTTTATTAAAATCGGCCCAGCATAGTCAAGTCCGCTGTGTTTGAATGGCCTGGTAGGTTGAAGTCGAACGGCCGGTAAGTTACCCATTTTTTGTTCATGCATTTTGGCAATGTACCTGACACACACAAGGCACTTTCGGAGAACTGATCTGGCCAGGCTTCGGGATGATAAAATCCAAAACCGCCGCAGAACATATGTCATCATTAATTGCACCCCACCGTGTAACGTTTGGTGATGAGCATCTGTAAATATAAGTAACGACAGTGGGTTGTGCTTAGTAAGTAAAATTGGATGTTTGGTTTCGAAGGTAGTGTTAGCCTTCGAAATTCGGCCTCCGACTCTAAGTAGGTTATTTTCATCAAGAAACGGAGCGAGTTGAAGAATCCTATTGTTGTTGCTCAGAGTGTTTTTCTTTGATAAGCAGTTTATTTCATTTACGAAGTCTACTTTAACAACTGTGATAAGTGCGCGGTTTATTTCGCATGATTTTAAAAACCCTGTCTCGTGGCCTTTGTTCTCTTCGTTCTTTTGTTTGAGCACAGCTGACTTGAGAATGTTGTAGAACCGGAGTATGTACGCAGTAATACGGAGAAGTTTAGAGAGGCTGGAGTATTTTGTAATCAGAGAGTAGTATTCAACATCTTTTGACGTTAAAGCAGTGTTGTGTAAACTGACGTCCGATCGTCGTTCCTCGAGATTTGTCTCCAAAGCGTTATTGAGTTTAGGCCAGTGCGATTGTGCTGATATTAACCAGGGCGGTCCACTCCACCACAGAGTGTGTGTACGAAGTTTAGAAGGTGTTAGGCCTCGAGTTAAACAGTCGGCTGGATTTTCGCTTGTAGGAACGTATTTCCATTGAGATGTTGCCCATCGATTAGAATAGCTCCGAATCCAACTTAAAACAGTCGTGCTATCTGTCCAGTAGTAAGAATTTTCAAGGCTCGATCCAAAATAGGTTTTGACTTTTGCCATTAATTTCACCAGTAAGGTAGCTGCACATAGTTCAAGACGTGGAATTGAAAGGACCTTGAGTGGCGCTACCTTCGTTTTTGATTGTATTAATGTTGTAGAGATAGCGCGATCTGTATAAACTACTACATATACTACAGCACCATAAGCTGCCTGAGAGGCATCGCAAAACCCATGTAAGTCAACTGTGCTTGCTTGATTGTAGCCCAACCATCTAGGTATCTTGATTTGTTCTAGCTCTTTCAAATTGTCACGATACCGAATCCATTCTGAATGAAGTTTTGGTGGAAGGGGATCTTGCCAGCCTAATCCTTCCAACCACAGCTTTTGAAATATAATTTTGGCTACGATAGTGGTAGGTGCGAGCCAACCTAAAGGGTCAAAGAGTTTGGCCGCATCTGACAGAAGGCTGCTCTTAGTGATCGTGGGAGCAAAATTAAAGTCGATTTTGAAGCAAAATTGGTCCTCCTTTGTTTCCCAATACAGCCCTAGCGCCTTAACGAAATTCTCAGAAGTTAATTGAAATGAGTCGTGCTTATCGCGGTATTCCATCGGAATGAATTCTAAAAATTCTAGCGAGTTAGAATTCCATTTTCTTAAATTGAAGCTCCCACTTTTACATAGCAGAGTAAGTTGTTTGTTTAATTCTGTCGCCTCTTGAATTGAATCGCAACCAGAAAGTATATCATCAACGTAGCTGTCATTTAAGAGAATTTTGCTCGCAATGGGAAAGGAGCTCTGCTCATCATTTGCGAGCTGATGCAACACACGTATGGCTAAATAAGATGCAGAAATAGTACCATAAGTAACGGTGCACAGCTTATAAATTTTTATGGTTTTAGTAGGGTCTTCTCTCCAAAGAATGCATTGAAAATGTTGGTGCTCATTACTTACGTTGATCTGCCGAAACATTTTCTCCAAATCAGCTGTAAATGCTATTCTGTGACGTCTCCATCGCGATAGAATATACGGTAAGTAATTTTGTAGTGCAGGTCCAGCAGCAAGTTCTGCGTTGAGCGAAGTCTGCTCCGGATGATGATTTCCACCGTCAAATACTATTAGTTTTGTAGTGCTGCTGCTTTCTCTTAAGACGCCATGATGACAGAGAAAATATGAATTATCTGGAAGGTCCTTCGGATACTCGCCTATCTCTTTCATATGCCTTAGACTTACATACTCATCCATGAACCTCTTGTAAAGCAGTGCAAACTCCGGTTGTAATTTAAATCGTTTTTCAAGCTGGCTTAGTCTTCGAAGTGCGTTGAAGTGAGTGTGACTAAATGACGGTAGTTCTGCTTGGAGAAAAAAACTTTTAAAGGGCAAAAGTACGGTATATCGTCCGGTTGCGTCGCGCGAGTGGGTTTCTAAAAAAATGTTTCTCAACTGCGGCTTCCTCAGTTGACATCGGTCGAGTTTCTATCAGGTCTTCCTGTTCCCAAAACAAACGTAGCTGGTCATCGAGAGAAAATAAATTGACGGAAAGACTGCAGTCATTAAGACTTGATTTTATCGGACCCGAGATCATCCAACCAAAATATGTTTCTTGTAGTAATAAACCATTGTCGCACTTGATCATTCCAGAAAGCAAAATGTCGCAGTATAAATCCGCACCCAAAATAAAATCAATTTTAGCTGGTGAACTGAAATTGGGATCGGCGAGAAAGACGCTGGGTAAGGTTTTCAGATAACTTGCTTCTATTGCTGCCGGAGTATAAGTTGTAACCTTGGGTAATAAAAGAAAGTGGCATTCAAGGTCAAACAGGTAGTTATAATGTGAACGCAAATTAAGTTTGACAGCTTTTCTTGCAATAAAAGATTGTGACCCTCCGATGCCCGATACATTTGCATTTATGTTACGCGTCTTCAATCTTAGCAATTGGGCTGCATCTTCAGATATAAAAGAAGTTTGCGCTCCTTGATCGACAAGAGCCTTGAAATAAAATTTCCTACCGGGTGTTTCCACTATTATGCGAACGGTAGCTAGGAGTACCTTTGTGCTCACATGAGTAAATAGAGAGTGCAGTTTAGCTATCGATGCGGACCCAGCTCCGATATTACTAAGAGAATTAGGTGAGACGGTAGCTGGATTGTTCTTATTCGTAATGGAGTTTCCAATAAAGAAATCGTTATGAAGAGGAGTATGATGCGACTCTCCGCAAACTTTGCAACGTGATTTTGTTGTACAATTACTGCAGGTGTGACCCTTACCTAAGCAGTTAATGCACAATTTGTTTTGCTTGACAAACTCTTTTTTGTCAGCTGCTGAGAATGCAGCGAATTTAAAACATTTGTATACAAAGTGATTTCGATGGCAGCAGAGACAACTGGTATCTGATGTGTTAGTAGTTGTTGCTGTATGAATGTTTGTGTGAGATTTTCGACGGAATTCCTTGTTTGGTGTTGTAGTACTTTTCTGCTGCTTCGCTGAAGGAATGTCT